TGGAATTCACTCGGTATCAAAGTTTACAAGTTTTGTGGTTTAAAAAACAATATTTTTTTAGGGTATTATATAGTCTTTTGAATTTAGTGATTCATAAAAAAAAGTAGTTATTATAGTCTTTTGAATTTAGTGATTCACCAAATTTTTTACGCATGTTTACCAACTGGAATTCACTCGGTGTCGAAGTTTACAAGTTTTGTGGTTTTAAAAAATATATTTTTTAGGGTTTTATTACAATCTTTTGAATTTAGTGATTCACCAAAATTTTTACCCATGTTTACCATATGGAATTCACTCGGTATCGAAGGTTGCAAGTTTTTTGGTTTAAAAAAATATTTTTTCAGGGTGTTATTTTACTCTTTTGAATTTATTGATTCACCAGAATTTTTACCCATGTTTACCATCAGGAATTCACTCGATATCAAAGTTTACAAGTTTTGTGGTTTAAAAAAAATATTTTTTTAGGGTGTTATATAGTCTTTTGAATTTAGTGATTCATAAAAAAAAGTAGTTATTATAGTCTTTTGAATTTAGTGATTCACCAAATTTTTTACGCATGTTTACCAACTGGAATTCACTCGGTGTCGAAGTTTACAAGTTTTGTGGTTTTAAAAAATATATTTTTTAGGGTTTTATTACAATCTTTTGAATTTAGTGATTCACCAAAATTTTTACCCATGTTTATCATATGGAATTCACTCGGTATCGAAGGTTGCAAGTTTTTTGGTTTAAAAAAATATTTTTTCAGGGTGTTATTTTACTCTTTTGAATTTATTGATTCACCAGAATTTTTACCCATGTTTACCATCAGGAATTCACTCGATATCAAAGTTTACAAGTTTTGTGGTTTAAAAAAAATATTTTTTTAGGGTGTTATATAGTCTTTTGAATTTAGTGATTCATAAAAAAAAGTAGTTATTATAGTCTTTTGAATTTAGTGATTCACCAAATTTTTTACGCATGTTTACCATCTGGAATACTCGGTGTCGAAGTTTACAAGTTTTGTGGTTTAAAAAAATATTTTTTTAGGGTGTTATTATAGTCTTTTGAATTTAGTGATTCACCGAAACTTTTACCCATGTTTAAAATGAGGAAATCACTTGGTATTGAAGTTTACAAGTTTTGTGGTTTTAAAAAATATTTTTTTAGGGTGTTATTATAGTCTTTTGAGTTTAGTGATTCACCAAAAAATCTACACAACAAAGTACAATACAATTCAAATCTCAAAAGATAAACAAAATGACTTTTGTTGCTATTCGCGGTTGAGAAATCTCTTTAAATTTTACTTTGAAATTAATCTGACGGTTAATATTAACACTCCAACTTTAAAATGACTTTTTAAAAGTGTTTTTAATACTTTTAATTTCTCATAAATACTTTAAAGAAAAGTAGTATTTGGAATAGGGATACAACTCGGGCGGGTTGGACAGTCAACTCTAGCCCAAATTTAGGTATATAATCTTCAGGCCTAACCCTAACCTTACCTTGGGTTGACGGATTTAACTTGAGTACTGCCCGAGTTTAATTCGGGCGGGCTCGGGTTGAATTCAAGTTAATGATTTTGAGCTATTTTACGGATTCAATTCGGGTTGAGTCCAAAATAGACTTGTTATTCTAAACCTGATATATATATTACATAATATTCATCTAAATTAACAACCAACAACTTCAATCAAGTTTTCAACATAGAAACCATAATATTAAGAGCTCAATGTTTGAGATAATGCAATCATAACTATACAAAATACAAATAAACACAACCAAAATTCTTGTACAAACATAGAGTTTACTGCTTAAATAGTAAGTGAGAGAGGTGCACAATGAAGACTTCAAAATAGATTAACCCTAGACTTAAAAATGTACTTAAATGGTTATCAATATTCGAGTATTCAAGTTCAACCCGAGGCTCAGCCAAATTGAATTTGGGTTATAGTTTTTTTACCCAAACTCAATCCAAGTATTAAAAATCCTAATCCAAACCTTAATTTTTTCGGGTTTAAATAGGGTTAACCCGCTCAAGTTGCACCCCTAATTTGAAACCACCACACCACTACCACTACCACCATCACCACTACCACCACCATTATTATTACCACCACCACTGCCACCCCACCCCACCACCAAACGACCACCCCCACCATCATCACCACTACCACTACTACCTCCGTCGTTGCCACCCCACCACCACTACCAATGTCACCATCCCATCACCACCACCCTCCCTTACCACCACCATTATTGTCGTCACCATACCACCTTTTACTATCACCACCGTTGCTAACCCCTCATCAGCACTACCACTACTGCCCGACCACCACAATCACCTCTACCCCCCCCGGCACCACCATCGCCACTGTCCTACCACCGCCGTTGTCACCCAATCACCACCTTTGCCACAACAATCACCACTGCCCCTACTATCACTACTGTCGTTATTATTACTATCGCCACCCCACCACCACCCCTTTACTGCCCGACCACCACTACCCCCACCATCACCACCACTACCCCACCGTTATTGTCCAATCATCACCCCTACCACCACTATCCCCTATAGCCTCACCACCACCCTTCACGACCATCACCATTACCACCAGCATTACAACCCACCACCACTACCATCGCTCACTTCCACTATAATTGGTATTTAAAATTTTTTTTCCCTCCTCTATATTTGTGATTTGATTTTAGATGTAAGTGAAAAAAAAAATTATTGTTGACAATTTTTTTTATTATTCTGTGTTTTCAGGCACAAACAATAACTAGTTAGTTATTATAGTCTTTTGAATTTAGTGATTCACCAAAATTTTTACGCATGTTTACCATCTGGAATTCACTCGATATCGAAGTTTACAAGTTTTGTGGTTTAAAAAAAATATTTTTTTAGGGTGCTATTATAGTCTTTTGAATTTAGTGATTCATTAAAAAATTAGTTATTATAGTCTTTTGAATTTAGTGATTCACCAAAATTTTTACCCATGTTTACCATCTGGAATTCACTNGATTCATTAAAAAATTAGTTATTATAGTCTTTTGAATTTAGTGATTCACCAAAATTTTTACCCATGTTTACCGTCTGGAATTCACTTGGTATCAAAGTTTACAAGTTTTGTGGTTTAAAAAAAATATTTTTTTAGGGTTTATTCACAATAAAATTCCTTCAAATCAATCCTGAAAATATTTATAATTTTTTTGGGTTATATTATAACCGTTTAAAGTTATAAATTTTTTAAAATTAACTNATCTGGAATTCACTTGGTGTCAAAGTTTACAAGTTTTGTGGTTTAAAAAAAATATTTTTTTAGGGTTTATTCACAATAAAATTCCTTCAAATCAATCCTGAAAATATTTATAATTTTTTTGGGTTATATTATAACCGTTTAAAGTTATAAATTTTTTAAAATTAACTTATAATTTTTGTGGTATTTGGAATCCATCCTAATAATGTTAAAATCGACCACAAAATTCCAAAAATTTATAAACAAGTCCAAAAAAAATTAAAAACTTGAACACAANTTATATTATAACCGTTTAAAGTTATAAATTTTTTAAAATTAACTTATAATTTTTGTAGTATTTGGAATCCATCCTAATAATGTTAAAATCGATCACAAAATTCCAAAAATTTATAAACAAGTCCAAAAAAAATTAAAAACTTGAACACAATAATGGTACAATATCAAATTTTTTGTGCATATCGTACACTCTCCTTTGCCATTCCCGCAATTAAAAAATATTTGTGTAAAAGTTTGATTTGTTACAAAAGGTTTNAATAATGGTACAATATCAAATTTTTTGTGCATATCGTACACTCTCCTTTGCCATTCCCGCAATTAAAAAATATTTGTGTAAAAGTTTGATTTGTTACAAAAGGTTTTAATTGACAAACTCAAATTTAAGGAATGACAAACTCAATGTAAAACCAAAAAAAAGTGAAATATGACTCTTAGATCTTTAGAAGAGACTATTAGTTATTTAAATAAAAGTTTGGGTTAACCTTAATTTGAACAACAGTTTTAGTTTGATCCAAAACTATAAGGAATTATGTGTAAGTTTGTAAAGCATGAGGTAATGTGTTTGTCGACCAAACCACAGGAAGGTAATTCATAATTTGTTAACGATTTATTTTCACAGTCAAAGATGAGCAAAATCATATTGATCTATTTTTTGAATAGTTCGGAAAATCTTGAAATGTGGGGGTAATATACTCTTACTAGGAGCATAGTCCCAAAGTGTTGGGGCTGATGGAGCTCTAAGGAAGTCATCTACGGATCCCAACTTTTTGTTTTTGAAGATCCTATAATCATACTGCATGACTCATCCTATGACAGTTATGGTAATGATATGTAACGAAAACGAAAAATACTATTATAAATGAGCCCGAGGTGGAAATATACTTGTAAGATATTGATCACATGTATCATTGGAGAACTCACCTAACTGAGAGCTNTATTATAAATGAGCCCGAGGTGGAAATATACTTGTAAGATATTGATCACATGTATTATTGGAGAACTCACCTAACTGAGAGCTATGATGAAGCTGTGATCGTGAGAATTTAGCTATTCTCCAATAACTTTTCATGAGAATCAAGGTATGCGTATGACCATAAATAGCGTCAACCCGCTAAATCAAGTGTAATGTTTGTACTATGTTTATGAGATGTTAAAATTTGATTAAAAGGACCTAGTTCAATAAATAGTTCACTATGACTCTTTCTCTTTCAAATAGAAACTATCAACATTAGGTGTAGGTTCAAACCTAATAACACATACACTGAATACATAGTATATAGTTACCTATCTTTGATAATTTTATAAATGATAGGTAACTTGGTGTAATTATTGATATTAAATGTATCAATAATCACGCAACGTAGCCGCTTGCAACCCTTATTAACACTTAGGTCCCTCTTCTCCCACTATAAATAAAGACGGTGCACCATTTGCCTTACATATAACTACTACAACACTACTACCTCATAGGTTCGGAGAGAGAGAATGGCAGCCATGATGGTCACCACCGCCACCAGCTACCGCGGGAGAAGCAGCAAGGTCATGATCACTGCATTGCTGCTTATGTTTATGTTGCTGATGGTGTCCGCGGTGCCGGACCGGGCTGGCAAAGTTATAAAGTTGGAAGAAAGTTGCATGAGCGACTGCGTTTCAAACTTTTGCCCCATCTACGGAGCATCATATGCTGAATGCTCTTCACTATGTGCCATACGCTGTGCAAGTCAATGTACAATCGATATTGGACTCTGCCGTCTCAAGGCTATTCTTGAGATTCTGTCGTTTCATGGCCATTCTTGAAATGTAGCAACCATGTATGATCTAAATATGTGTGCGCACGCGTGTTTATGTGGATTTTTAAGTATGTATGTTTGTAATTGGATAAAATTAGGAAGATATAACTCTCCTTTATCCAACAAATAAAATTTAGTGNATATGACTCTTAGATCTTTAGAAGAGACTATTAGTTATTTAAATAAAAGTTTGGGTTAACCTTAATTTGAACAACAGTTTTAGTTTGATCCAAAACTATAAGGAATTATGTGTAAGTTTTTAAAGCATGAGGTAATGTGTTTGTCGACCAAACCACAGGAAGGTAATTCATAATTTGTTAACGATTTATTTTCACAGTCAAAGATGAGCAAAATCATATTGATCTATTTTTTGAATAGTTCGGAAAATCTTGAAATGTGGGGGTAATATACTCTTACTAGGAGCATAGTCCCAAAGTGTTGGGGCTGATGGAGCTCTAAGGAAGTCATCTACGGATCCCAACTTTTTGTTTTTGAAGATCCTATAATCATACTGCATGACTCATCCTATGACAGTTATGGTAATGATATGTAACGAAAACGAAAAATACTATTATAAATGAGCCCGAGGTGGAAATATACTTGTAAGATATTGATCACATGTATTATTGGAGAACTCACCTAACTGAGAGCTATGATGAAGCTGTGATCGTGAGAATTTAGCTATTCTCCAATAACTTTTCATGAGAATCAAGGTATGCGTATGACCATAAATAGCGTCAACCCGCTAAATCAAGTGTAATGTTTGTACTATGTTTATGAGATGTTAAAATTTGATTAAAAGGACCTAGTTCAATAAATAGTTCACTATGACTCTTTCTCTTTCAAATAGAAACTATCAACATTAGGTGTAGGTTCAAACCTAATAACACATACACTGAATACATAGTATATAGTTACCTATCTTTGATAATTTTATAAATGATAGGTAACTTGGTGTAATTATTGATATTAAATGTATCAATAATCACGCAACGTAGCCGCTTGCAACCCTTATTAACACTTAGGTCCCTCTTCTCCCACTATAAATAAAGACGGTGCACCATTTGCCTTACATATAACTACTACAACACTACTACCTCATAGGTTCGGAGAGAGAGAATGGCAGCCATGATGGTCACCACCGCCACCAGCTACCGCGGGAGAAGCAGCAAGGTCATGATCACTGCATTGCTGCTTATGTTTATGTTGCTGATGGTGTCCGCGGTGCCGGACCGGGCTGGCAAAGTTATAAAGTTGGAAGAAAGTTGCATGAGCGACTGCGTTTCAAACTTTTGCCCCATCTACGGAGCATCATATGCTGAATGCTCTTCACTATGTGCCATACGCTGTGCAAGTCAATGTACAATCGATATTGGACTCTGCCGTCTCAAGGCTATTCTTGAGATTCTGTCGTTTCATGGCCATTCTTGAAATGTAGCAACCATGTATGATCTAAATATGTGTACGCGCGCGTGTTTATGTGGATTTTTAAGTGTGTATGTTTGTAATTGGATAAAATTAGGAAGATATAACTCCCCTTTATCCAACGAATAAAATTTAGTGTTATCTCCTGTCGACTTTGTCGTGATTGTTACGATGACGACGTTATTGTTATGACGTTCTCTTGACAACTCAATAAAGTCTTATTGATCTAAATATGTGTGTGTGCGCGTGTCTATGTAAATTTTCAGGTGTGTATGTTTGTAATTGGATAAAGTTAGGCAGATATAACTCCCCTTTATCCAACAAATAAAATTTAGTGTTTAGCTGTCAACTTTGTCGTGGTTGTTACGATGACAACATTATTGTTATGGCATTCTTTTGATGACTCAATAAAGTCTTGGTTCTATGATAAGTTGTTCATCATAAAAGCCCATGAATGCATGGGTAAATATGTTTGACCTAGCGTGTGTAATGATTCTTTGAATGGATTAGAAATCTAATATTCCTAAGAGCCTTTTTTTTTTTTTTATAAAAGGGGTGCAACATGAGGACTTCCCAGGGGGTCACCCATCCTAGTACTACTTTCGCTCAAGCACGCTTAACTGCGGAGTTCTGATGGGATCCAGTGCATTAGTGCTGGTATGATCGCACCCGACATCTCCTCCGCTTTTTATTCTTATAAGTTACCTCCTTTCCGTTCCGTTCCGCTCCCCTCCACTCCGTTCCTCCCCGACACATAGTATCGCGATTAAACGTACAAGAACCGCCCCAAACCGTCCACCGAATGGGCCCTGGCCCTGGCACCATTGGGCATGGCCGTTGGGACGCTGGCGCTTGGGCGGAGTGTTAGAAAACCATTAAAAATTAACAAAACTTTAAGCGACCATAACTTTGCGCTCAGTTGTCCGTTTGAGGCAATTTTTTTTTTGAATCTGGGTATTTTTTCGAGATCTACAAATATTAAAACCGCCCACCAAATGGGCCCCGCACAAAAAAATACAGCCTCTTAAAGACCGAAAATTCGGGTCTGACACAAAAAAGGGGTGCAACACGAGGACTTCCCAGGGGGTCACCCATCCTAGTACTACTTTCGCTCAAGCACGCTTAACTGCGGAGTTCTGATGGGATCCAGTGCATTAGTGCTGGTATGATCGCACCCAATATTCCTAAGAGCTTAGTAGGATCACATAAGTCATGAACCAGAACCTTATAGTAATTCTTAATGAGACCTTTCAATCACAAATACATATATATGTGTGTGTGTAGACCTATATATATTGATAATAAACTTAAAAGATTTCTAACAGATGCTGTCTTTATAGCCTTTTTGTACTACTAAATCCAATACTAAAATGTCGTCCCACACCCATGAAGGGTAATCCTGTGAAGAACCCAAAACATCAGCCTTAACAAAATAGCTGGTTAATCTAAGTACTTAAAGAGAATCTTTCAAAGGTTCAAAAACACATAATTGTTAGAAAAGGCAAACAAGTCTACAAAAATATAGGAAGATCTTTCTTTTCTTCCCTATACGTCTCTGTTAGTGTTCTATCCATTATTGATTTCATAGTCATAAACTCAAACTTCTGAGATACCATGGTTGTAAGTCTTAATCCTTCCTGGACCACTCTTTCAAAAATTTTATTATAAGAATCATATTTATACAACTCTAAACCTCTCCCTATTTCCTATGCACATTTCCCAAAAATACTTTTATCCACTAATCACGCATTTGCTTAGTTGTGATTATCTTATTAAAGAATTTAGGTAACCAAGTGCTTTGACATGTCTTGAAAACTTCGGAACCACAATTGGCATACCGTCAAGTCCTAAAAATATTCGATGCACCTGAAAAAATTACATTAAAACGCAACATGATGGTTTACTTTTGTTTCCGGAGTCTAATAGCTTAGATGGTAGCAGTGATCCAATGTGGAAATCAGTCTCTAATTGCAAAATAAACAAACTATATAAAACATCAGAAAGGTCAAAGACTCAAACAGCTTTTTAGTAGGGTGAGAACGTCAGCACAAAGCCTAGGAGTGTGCAATAGCATTCCAAGTTCAATTAGTTTGTTCACTGTGTGACCAACATAACCCAGCAACGTTTAGGCAAAGCTATAATCCATGTGTGTCTTATATTCCCAAAAGAATGTGCAAGAGCAACTATTCATCAAGAAACACACCTTCTAACATCAAGGGATGCTCTATGAAATAAGAGTATGCACACACACAAGTCCTCAAATAGAAAGGATACTCAGGAAAAGATGATTTCTAAAGAAACTTTCCAGCAGTTGCTGTTCAGATGTAAGGTACACATTTTTTCCAGTACTTCAAAATGTGAATATTCAGATACACACACATGCACACACAAGAAAAGAGAATAGACAAAGAAGGAGATGGTATCACCCTATAACAATCATCAAATCAATAAAACTAATAAATAAACCATAATTTGCAAGCTGGAAAGTTCTTACATTGATTTGATATTTGGCAACACTGCATTATCTCCCATTACGGTCATCTTAAGTGAGATGAGACTTGGAATATGAGCAATTGCTTCAAATTTTGATTCAACCCCATAAATCTTGAGATACTTCCATTTTTTTGTTTTAGGGTCATAACATATGAAGGCAGTTTTAGGGTAATGATACATCAACAACTCCCCATTCTTCAGATAATTTATGGGCTGGTACAGTCCGTGAATCCACATCTCCATGCCATCACCAGTGTCAATAGAAATCACTTTAGTCCAAGATTTTGCGACCCCATACGTCTTCATCACCCATACTTTTATTCGACCATAACAAGAGGCATCACACAAAAATAAACAACCTCTTATTACTCCCAGACACACGCTATGCAATGGTTTCGAGCCAATCATGCAATATCTAACAGGAGGCGATGGAATAAATTGGAATTGCTCATTATCAAAGTCAAAGGAGAGTATAGAATCTGAACTATTGTGGTAAATACAAAGCCAATGAATAGCCCCTTTCAGATAGGTGGGGAATGCAAGCTCATAAATTGAGAAGGGAGTACAGCCTATGCTTTTCCATGATTGAATGCCAAGTGTGTGTATCTCAGCCATCCTACTAGTTAGTACTTCTCTGCCTGTAATGGGGCAATGATAAAATTGACAAGGCCCCTGATCAAACATTCTGATCTCCTTGAACCGATTTATCTTTGGACTAAAGCCAAACCCACAATCAATGAAAGCTTTTGTATCTTTATTTACCTTTCTAGCCATTGGAAGGTTTATGTGATCCCCCTTAACTGGATTACACACGACAACAGGAGCTATCACATGACGTCACATTTGATACTTCAAAATAATTGGAGAAAAGGCCTATTACAGAGCATATGATTTGAAAACAGTAAAAAAATCTGTTTTTCTATTACATTATGTGCATAAAAATATTCTTTCCATAGATATCCTATAAATCTATAGAAACTACATCTAGAGGTATGCAAAGTTAAGAGTAAAACAGTAACAACAATCAGGTAGGATAAAAAAAGAGATTAGAATTGAGAAACACATAAAAGGCTTATTGAAACAATGTTA